ACAGGGAAGTATGCTCCCTCTGTATCTTAAAAAAATAAATAAAAAATTTCTAAACAATATATAATTACAACAGGGAAGTATGCTCCCTCTGTATCTTAAAAAAATAAATAAAAAATTTCTAAACAATGTATAATTACAACAGGGAAGTATGCTCCCTCAAAGTGTAGAAGCAGCTTTATTTAATTGTGGAGCTTCCCTAGCACTAATTTTAGGCCTCATGCTGTTTTGTTTTTATTCCCTTTTAGCTCAGTCTCTTAGAAATGTGATACAACCTTCTACTGATCTGCAGATAATTTTCAATCTAAATTAAAGCATACATATAAAGTTACTCTGAAAACTTGTATTCCTTTGCCTTGATGTTAAATGAGCACCACTTGTTCTAAAATCCAGAAATATAGTAAGCCTATACTAAAGATTTAGACAGACGCTTTCAGATGTTTATGGATATTGTGAAATACACTATATTCCAAATGATTTCAATAAGGTGTTCTACTTACTTCTGTGACCTCAGGTCTATAATAAAGATGTTTCTACAAAAATTTGTGAGAGAATGGGTCGTCTTAGGTGCTCTGCGAGTTCCAGTGTTAAGATGTGATAGGATGCCATCTGTGCAACAAATCCAGTCATCAAATGTCCTCACTCATAAATATTCCAGTCAACTGTCAGCTGTGTCATAAGAAAGATTGGAAGATTTTGGGAACGACAGTAACTCAGCCACAAAGTGGAAGTCTACGTAAACTGATGGAGCGAAAAAAAAGTGTCATAAACTTTCTGCAGACTCAGTCGCTACACACCTCGAAACTTCATGGGACCCTTAGTAGAGAGTTCCTTTCCCTGGAACTAAGGGGCCAAGACCAGCTCCTGAATAACTATCCCACATCATAATGCCTCCTCCATCAAACTTTACAAATGTAGTCAGACAAATACTGTTCTCCTGGCAACCACCAAACTCAGACTCGTCCATCAGATTTCCAGATAGAGAAGGCATCTCCACTGCTCTGGAATCCAGTGGCGGCGTGCTTTAACACTTTTGATTGCACATGGTGATGTATGGGTTGGATGTAGCCACTCGACCATGGAGGCCCATTCCATGAACCTATCTGCCCACTTTTGTTTAGCTAATCTGAAGGCCACATGAAGTTTGTAAGTTTGTAGCCTCTGCAGAAAGTTAGTGACCTCTTCCCACTACAAGAACTATGTGGCCTTTGTGGCAGAATTGCTATTTTTCCTAAACACTCAATTTTCTGATAATGCAGCTGACAGAGAAACATTTAGGAAATAGGAAATTTCACAAGTGGTTTTGTTGCACATGTGGCATCACATCTCAGTTCCATACTGGAACTCACTGAGCTGAGAGCTGTTCTTTCACAAATGTTTGTAAAGACTGCATGCCTAGATGCTTGATTTTATACACTTGTGGCCATGGAAGGCATTAGAACACCTGATTCCAATAATTTAGGGGAGTAGGCATATACTTCTAGCACTATAGTATTATATAAAATGTTATGGAGGATGCCTAATAAAAATGCATAGGCTCATGAAAAACAAGCTCCTCTTTGTTGCATAAAAGGTTGGTTTATTCATCTTACATACAGTAGATACAAAACATTCATTTGAAATCAAAGTGCCATTTCCCAACACAATACAAGTGTTGCTTTGTTATAGAGAAAAGTTGACAAATATTACAATGGTACTTTCAAAAATGTCATAAAAAGTTTTTATTTTTATGCAAATTCTTGTTTGGTGAAAGGGTGATTTTTTAAATTTTTTTATTTCATTTTAAACAAACAGAGCTGACAGGGTTTATAATTGCTGCTTAAAAGCAAAAAGAAACCAAGCATGTTATTAGCCCTGCTTTATTTGTATATGTTGCACTATGAGCTTTAAGGAGATACACAACCATCATAAGGCATTTGGGCCAAGCATTTCAATACTGCGACACATTGGGAAAAACAACAAATAATGAGCTTACTTCATGTCTTGTGGGTCTTTTTTTTATTGAAATGGAGAACATTAATAACTCAAAGGACTTTTCTTTTATTCAAGAGAAAATGCTGCTCTTTAAAGGGCAGGGTAAAGGATGGAGACTTATATGGTCTTCTTGTTTTCTACAAAGCAGACCAAAAAAAAGCATAAATGTCAGACAACTTGATCCTAAATTAAGAGAAAACCAGACACTATGAGAGGCCAAGCATCCCTATTGTTGACACTTTAGAGCTGCCCTCTTCCAGGACCACAAATAACAGAAGTCCAATGAAGGCTTGACTGCATTAATTTTTCTTCTTTCAAGGCCTAATTTTTCCTTAATTACCACAAATAAATTCAAACCTTAGCAAAAATAACCTACTCATAATAGGTTAAAGTCCACATCTTATCAGGTGCATCAGAGCACCACGGACCTAAAGCAAAGTGACTTCAGTTTTTCTTGCAGAGACACCATAAAGGTTTAAAGTTTCCAAAGTGCCAAAAGTCGATTAATAACAAGCAAATGATATATATAATGTGCAGAAAAATATTCAGTAATTACTGCCTCTACACATAGCTTTACACACTTTTTACGTTTTCATATTCTTGTTGATGCCGTTTTCATCTGCTCAAAAATAATACATCCATTCTCTTAAAGACACTTCAATATAATGATGAAAAAAAAGCTGTTTTGCACATGTAGTCAGATCTCTACTAGTAGCAAACACTTGTTGAAGACACTTCAAAACTCAAAAGAGATTCACAACTTTTAATGGAAACAACTCTTTGAAGCCAATATGAGTCTCACAAAGAAGCGTGGTAATCGCCACCGCACCGGTGAAACGCTGCTGCACTCCTTGCTACTCTGTCTCGGTTCGGCATGTTGGATCGCTGAGAGAGTTTGTAGCATGGCTGCTCCCGTCTTATTCAGCCACTTTTGTAGCTGCTATCACCCGTTCGCTGAATGCGAGCGGCGATCATGTCCCTGGAAACGCTCTTGCGATCTCTGGCCAGCCCCAAAAAGCACATGAGGTTGATAAAGGCAGTGGTGATGTTGATCTTGCAGCCAAACTCGCTTGTAGCATAATCAAAGGGAAATGTGTGATGGTAGTTGTGGAAGCCTTCCCCTAGGAAAAACAAACAAAAAAAATTGTACATAACATAATAGAGTTGTTTTTTAATACATTTTCTTTTTTCAAGGTTTCAAAAACTAAATCTAACAAAACTCTGAATAGATGAAATAGCATAGCAATTGCAGAGACATATTCCATATTCCCTTATCCAAATCCAAGAAAAAAAAAAAAAAACACCAAATAATCTCCTAAATGAAAGAAGTCTTTCACATCAACAGAATAACATTCCTTTGCTAGGAGTGTCCCAAAAGCACTAAAATTAGAAATCAAACCAAAGAGGGAGATGAATGGGGATAGCTAAACATTTAAAGATGTCATAGTTTTCATTTTAATCCAAAATAAATTATATTTCTTGGAGAATCTTTGATGCAAAGGGACTTTTTATAGAATCATAAGCTTTTGATATTGCAGATTCCGACACCAGGAGGTCATGGAGGTCATCTGATTTTCTATATTTTCAGTCACTTTGATTTACATCTCTCATGATAGTGTTATTAGGGTAATTCCTTGTTGTCTAAAATTCAGATCAACTAGAAAAAAAATGGTCTAAATTGGATTTTTTTTAATAAAAAAGGTTTAAAATAATATGACAAAGGGCTGTTATTGAACTGCTAACATATGTACACACCATGTGACGGATAATTTTATGCGATTTAGTGACCTATGCTAAACTAAAAGGGAGGACTGTCTTATAATGTAGTTCACAAGCCTCCCAAATCCAATTCCACCAATTATGTCACATTTAGACTATCTTAGAGTTAATCTGTGACCACCCCGACTAGGATTGCTCCAGCATGATGAGGGATAGATATGAAGTCACAGGGTTACTCAGCTTTGATGACTTTGCTTCTCTGTCAGAAGCATAAATACATTTAGAGATCCAAAGCGGACGGTCACGCAGCTGCAGATCAACCAGATCTGACAAAGTCAATGTGGTAAAGGAGGTTATATCGCCACTGTTTAGAACAATTAAAAAGAAAAAACACTGGAGATGACAAAGTCTTCAGCAGTGAAGTTTTTTTTTTTATGAAAAACCAACCCAGCAGGAACAGCTCATATAGTTTTCTGAAACAATCTTCAGTCTTTTGAAAAATCTTAATACAAAATGACCAAAATTCTAAGATTTATGGACTGAGTAAATTTAAATTCATTCTATTCATTTAATTAATGTGTGTCCCTTTTAAATTAAAACTGACAATACGTTTTCCCCATTTTAGACCATCTCATTGAAAATACCACAATAGTCTGACGCAATATTCCAATCTCAAAAGTTGTTCTTTATCATTGGTTGTGAAATTCATTAGGATTAACAATTAAATCTTGAAAACATAATTTTTTGTGTGAATGAAGTGAGATACTGAAATAAAAATGAATTTTCCCATTATTAATGGGATGAAAGGTGGCAATCCAGTACAGTTTTTGTACGACACAATGAAAATAACCTGGTTTTAACAGGTTATAAAACGATCTAAACTCGATCTTAAATATACAGAAATACACAGCCGGATATAAACAGGCTTTATCCTTTAAACAGCGACGTGGACATAATGAAAGCGCAGAGGTGAAACTCCAGCTCCACCCATTTACTTAGCTGCAGAACAAATTTTAGCAACAAGCAATGTTGGCCATAAGTCTAATATTGCTGTGTGACCATTTTGGCCCACTATACATGAATGTTGATGCATTTCACGACAGGGTCACATATTTTTACTGAGGCTTTTGTGATCATTCCCCTATAATGGGCTTTTCAGACCAATTTTGAGTCAAAAAAGCTGAAATCATGACACCCTCCACCCCCATGCCCTGAAGCATTTGTTGATGCACCGGTGCCAACGTGCTTTTGGCTTTCTATTGCAAACATGGTGCAGCCCAGCGTAGTCAAAAGCATCTACTGTCCTAGAACTGTCGCAGTTGACGCAGTGACCTTTACAAACTCAATGTGCTAGAACTTAATTCTGACAAACATTCAATACTTTTCCTGACTGCATCACAATTAACTTTAATATTTACTAATATGCAGCTTTATGTAGTTTCTCTGAGATAAGGCACCATCTATTTCTGCTTATGTTATATGTTTGGAAATTACCCTACAACTCTGCAAAAACGATCTAGAAATGAGCAAAAATGTCTTACATTAAGTGTATTTACCATTAATTTGAGCAGATAAATACGATGATCTGCCAATGAAATTAGAATTTTTACTTTTAAAATAAGACAATTAGATAATATGCACTTGATATAAGACAAGGCAATTGTTTTTTTCTTATTTTAAATGAAAGTAGCTTGTTCCATTGGCAAAGTTTCTCACTAGTCTTCTCAATCCAAGAAAAAATGCACTTATTGTAAGAAAAAAATGAATCATTTAGAATTTAATTTTTTGCAGTGACGGTAATATATCCCTTCGTATGGATGGCATCCTTCCTATCTGGCACTGTGTTGACCACCTTACTACACAGACCATTGCCTCGATACAGCCGACAATGCTTGATCAAACTCATTGTTAGCAGCACTCAGGCACAATTTGTTTGCAAAAAATGTCAATAGACTCAAAACTAAACACAGGTTTTCATTTTGGCTTAATCTCTTCAGTTCAAATTTAGACCATTTGAGAAGCCAATATAAACCAGTCTTTATCATGTGCTGATACATAAAAACCTTATATTGACAAGGAGTTTGGGGCTTTTTAATGTCCAAATCATCCAGCAAGACTGCTGCATATTTAACCTCCATAGCTGGTCCCAACCTGAGTGACTTTGAAAGACAAACCTTAAGGCACAAGATCATAACTGAAGATAAAGAGTAAATGCTCACCTATGGCACTAAGGGCCACAAATGGATTTTCCCTTGGGTTAATGGTCTTGTCATATGGCCTGTTGCCCCACATATGCGCAGCGCTGTTGACCAGCCAGGTTGCATTGAGCACCACGGTGAACCTCAGAAGTCCAGGAACAAAATAACCCACAGCCAAGGACTCCCCCCAGAAGTACCAGGGTACGACTGTGGGAACGACGAAGCAGAGCAACACTACAGAAAGCTTGTAGTACCTAAAGGGAAGCAACAAGATAATGTCAGAAGTCACAGGGTATCACGCAGTCACATTCACAGCTCAGACTGCACTGCGTTAATGTACACAGTGCATCTTTGGCAGCAACTTTTATTGCTTAAGAAAAGATCATTCTGCTGGTAGGGAGTACATAAACAAAACTTAAAATTCCTCTCACCGCCTCTGAAACATCACCACTGGATCCGCCCTCAGATCTCCCAGGTCCAACTTCCGGCCCTTTTCAATGACGTCGGGATGTTTGCGGACCAGCAGCCAACCAATGTGGGAGAAGAAGAAGCCCCGTTTAGCGTTGTGAGGGTCTGCGTCTGTCTCAGAGTACTTGTGGTGGACGCGATGGTCTCTGGCCCACTCGTAAATGTCATTCTTCACATCCAGGAAAGAGATTGTGGAAAGAGAATAAATACAAAAAATTATTCTAATTCATTTTGCTGAAATATTGAGGTTGCAACAAATATGGATTAATTCAGCTTTGGAATTTTCCATCCTTCTCTAATCTGCACATAAGAAGTCAGTTAAACCAAAAACTTTCAGCTTTTTCTTACAGCTACTTCAGCACATTTTCATCTTTTTATTTTGTTGAGCCAAACTATGCCGTGCCCCGTAAAGCCATTCATTCCCTATAATAATTTTCACATTGAGTTACATTCTTAATGTATTTTATTGGGACTATATGGGATAGACCATCTCACATTCACATTTTCTCCAAATTGTCCCCCATGTTTGTCTTTAGGCCCTTTACTTTGGTAAACCTAAATAAAATCCAAAGCACCCAATTGAATTCAGAAGTAACCTAACTAGTTAACAGAACATATGTATGTAATTTAATCTCATTACAATACAACCATGTCATGAAGGTGTGAAAAACCTTTAGTCACTGAACAAACAGCATTATGAAGACTAATGCCCCCTTCTGAAACTGATGCGTGCAGAGTTCGGACTAAGCTTGGATCAGTGGGCCTTGCCAAGCTCTTACGACCATTTACACATCACGCTAGCACGGTTCTTTGCCTCTGATCGACGGTCAACGATACTAAAGCTCTCAAGGCAGGAATTACACAAACAAAAATGGCGGCGCCTATAACATTCAGGAACTTATGTGCCTGGATAGCTTCTTCCTCCCAAATTTCAATGACAGCCTTGGTCTCGGCATCATCCCAAGTCGCACCACGCTCTTTTGATGCCATTTATTGTTAATAGGCTGAGAAGAAGTTTGTGTTGTGAACAAGTGAAGAGATCTGTGAATTATAAAGCCTGACATGGCGAAAAAACCCGCAGAATGAGTCAGCTGACTGTAAATAGGAGATGATGCAGGCTGCTCATGCACTATTTATTATCAGAGAACCGAGCCACAGATGAACCATGCCAAACCTACTGTTGAACTACAGTTCAGATGCGTTCCATTTACACTCCCCAGTTATCTTAATTACCGTGCCCGGACTGTTTTAGGCACAATTTTAAAACGGTAGTGTAAATGGGGCTTAAGAAAGAGCGAATAGATCAGATTGAAGGGTAGAGGTTTAAAGCTGAATATACCAACTGTTCAGAACATCATTTAAAACAGGTAACTTACAAAGGCATGGCCATCCAACAAAACAAACAGGCTAGGGAAGAAGAGCTTTAATCAAAGAAGATAAAAAGGGATGCATTCTAAATCTGGAGGAGATGCAGAAATGAATAGTTCAGGTGGGAGAAGGTATTGATAGGATGGCTATTAGAAGTGTGCTCCATAAATGTGGCCCCTACGGAGGGGAGTGGCAAGAAAGTTAGTATTGAACAAGAGCTGCAAGAAGTTCTGCGAAAGGTTTGTGGCAAATCATTTAGGAGAAACCCCAAACATGTGGACGGAAGAGATTTGTTCAGTAAATATCAAACGTTTCTGGATCAGATAGAAAAGACTGTGTGTAAAGAAGCTGAGAGGGCCAGAAAAACTGATAAGAGTGGATGGGGAGTTTAATGGGGCTGGTTACAGAGAAATCATGAAAGAAAACTGGTTAGAAGCTGCAAAAGGTGGAGGTTCAACCTTAAGCACAGGATAAAAAATAAATACAGAAAGAGTTTTAATAGAATGTTGTAGAGCAAAAGCACATCAGAATAACCAAGTCAAAGTTCAGACATACATGCAACCAAACGTCTGAGCAACACCTGAACATTGTCATTGTAGATGCCTTTCAATCCCCCCTGATTTAGCTCATTCCATTTTGAAAAAGATTAACTTCTAAATCAGTCTATGGATTTAAAATGTGACCAACCAAGCTCAGCTGTCCTTCCAATTCATTATTATCTTGTATTGTTCTCTCATAATAAAAATCCAATAAACTACCGTACATTAAAGCTGTTGGCTGCAGTTTGACAAAAGGAGAAACGTTTTAGAGTGCAAAACACTGCAGCTAGGTTCTGTGTTTACATGTTTGGGTGTTTTACCTGAAATGCCATAGAGTTGCCAAGAGCCAGGAAGACTCTCAGGGGGAAAGAAGCCTTATAGGACCTGTGGCTCCATAATCTGTGCGCACCAGCAGTCACACCGAGGGCACTGATCATGTAGCAAACTGCAGCTGGAAGAAAATGAGACATGCCTTACAGGGACCTGTCAGCGCTACATTAACATGCATTTAAACCCATGAGATCAGGGTCACTGGGACATCATGTTCTTTTCCATAACCCTCTGACTCTTGTGCCCGTTTGGAGAAATGTTGGGAGTGTGCAGGTCAGCCCTCACACTTTAGCTGTTCTAAAACTGCTGAATGCATTTCTCTGTCAGGCCTAGACAGAACCAGCCAGAATCTGAGACCCAGGGCCTGACTGGCAACAAGCATTCTGTTGTGGTGCTGTGAGCCTCACAATGGGATGTCTTTAGGGGGAGTGATTGTGCTTTGTCTTCCACTGTGAAATAATATGCAGCTACGCCTCGGAAACAGAGCAAAACGTCTGCAGAGCCAAAGTAGAAACAAGGTAGAGATTGTTTAGGGACATGAGTCACGCCACAACGGTCCACATATATATAGGTCACAACTTCCTGCCTCTCAGCAAACTGTTTAGACAACAGTCATTTAAATATTTCTATTTTGGGGACATTTTGTGAAAAGCGGGGGGGGGGGGCTCAGCTGTTACAGGAAATTTGAAAGAATGCATTTGGGGTTGGGCAGTTTAGACCCCTTCTATTCTCCAACCTACCTTGATCAACTTTCATATAAGTTAGGGGGAAGAGCCACCATTGCAGTTTTCAAATGTCATTACGGTCAAAGCAAAAGTAATGGAACACATTGCTAAATAAGGTAGAAAAACTCAAAGCCAATTTAAGGTCCAAATTTAAGGGTTTCACCCCTAAGACACTTACATACAGATTCATCCTTAATCTGGCAGAGACTAAAGCATTTTTGGGAATGTTTTTTGGGGCCAGTTGGATCAAAAAACTTGGTCAGTCAGTCATGGAGGTATGGCTTAGCAGATATTTACTGCTGCTGCTTTAGGGCTGTGTGCTACAAAGAAAACATGCAATCCCCTCTGTCAGTAGTTGCAGCATCATGCTGTGCAGAGGCTCTCTTTTACCATTTATAAAGGAAGCTTTAAAGAGTTTGTAGGATTATGGCTGGAGTTAAATAAAGTACAATCCTGTTAAAAAAAAAGTGTTAAAACCTGCAGATAAATACTCAGGAGGTTCAGCTTCCAGCAGGACAGTGGCCCTAAATCATGGATGTCAAACTAGTCCTACTTTTACATGTCTTCAAGGTCCAACAAACTTGACTTGACTACCTCCTCAGTCCAGAGCCCTGAAATCGACCTAATTATTTGTTTTAGGTCTATTAAAGGTATAGTGGAGGATGTTCTTTTTACGGGTGGATTGTCTAAATATGCGGTTCTCCTAATTGTCAATCATTTTGGAGATATGTTTAGGCAAGGTCGTTCTACATGCTCGTCCTATTTTCACTTACCGGAGGTGAGTCTGACATGGTGGAAAAAGTGCAAACCTTCTTTTGGAAAGTTAGCTTGTATGAGGATGCAAACAGCAATTTTTAAACAGAGCGTGCAAAAGGAAATATGGGCTTGTGCATGCTTTAGTAGGCATTTAATAGATATTCCCTCTCCGGAGCGGGTACAGGGTTGTGTAAGTTTTTTGTTTTTTTTAATGGAGAGGGTGGGTCTTTTAGAAAAAAAACTCCATTAGACCTTTAAAGCAGAATTTCATCTACAAGATGCAGGACATTCGGCCCCCCAAGGACTGGATTTTCAAATCTCTGCCTTAGACACATGGCCTGATCTAAAATGGAAGGGTTTAAATTCAAGAGACATCCGTGCTAGAATGGTCCAGTCCAAACATAAATCTAATTAAGACTCTACAAATGTCACCAGCCAGTCATGTTTCAGAATAGATTGTTCTGAAGATGCATTACACAGTAAATGTTGCAGTTAAAGTAACACTTTGAGAGTACATTTGGTCCACTCTGAATTAGTGTGGGACTAAATGTACTCTCAAAGTGTTACTTTAACACTGTAACATTTACTGTGTAATGTCTCATGGACATGGGATACAAATAAAGGAAACATAATTGTTGCTCCAGAGGAAAACTGTGTGAAACTACTAACAAGTGCAAAAATGCACTCTGGTTAAGCGTAATGGACAGTCTACTTCTGAGGTTCCCAAGTAACATAAAATGGGCATTTTTGGTGCCCATTGAAAATCTGCAATCTAATTCTTTTCTGCACAAATCCAAAAACAACAGATATCCATGTCCAGTAATCAAACCACTGGTCCTAAGACAGGAGCTTTATTAAATTTCAACCCTTATTTAAGCTATATAATTTCAAACATTTTAATATCCTTCATAAAATATCAATTTCTATGCCTCCTTTCTCATTTTTCCCCTGTTTAAATATGAATCTAAGGAAAAAGTCCTCAGATTCAATACTGGCTTGTGTTTTAGGTGTGCCCACCCCTTAATTTTATGCTTATTTAAAAAAAAAAAAAACGAATTTCCCCTGAAAAACAGCTGAGCTACTGTGATATTTAGAGAAGCACAGGTGGTTATATACAATTGAGAACAAATTGGGTTTTAAATCTAACCGTTATCTAAAGATAAAATCCATTTCAGTAATATTATATAAATATCTGAGGGTAGGTTGAAAACCTTTATAGAGGCCCTTCCAGTGAAATGAGGCCAGAGTGACTCATTCTCCATTATTCCCACAGGCTTGATCCCCCCCAGCAGCAGCAGCAGCAGCAGCATGATGCACATCAGCACATTCTGTTTAAACTAAACACTTACTCCATCCCAGAGTTAACCACGATGCGGAAGGGATGAGAAGCAGTCCATAAAGCGCTCCAATGTGCAGTAAACTCATCATGATGATATTTCTCCACACCAGGATCCTCGCTGGCTTCTTCCCCTCCTTTTCTCTATAGGTGTCGTCAAAAACATCGTCCACGGTCGATGTTTCCGCCATGGCGCCTCCGTTCTGCTGCTTTTCAGCGCGGTGATGAACGTCGCTTTCGGTCATGTTTCTGCAGAGAGGAAGCACAGAGCGAGCAGAACAAGAGGATGGTGTTCAGTTTTTATGCTCTGCGCACGGCGTGATGCGGGCAGACAGACAGACGGACAGACAGAGGAAGAAGCGCCTGGCAGCTGAGCTCCTGCAGCGCCACAGCTGGACTGACACATTGCCGGTTTATTATATATATATATATTGTTTGTCAATCGCTTATAATTTCTAAATAAATGTTGCATCATTCAGTGCTGCTCATATTACTAATGTTGTTGTAGTTTCCCTATGCGTCAACTTTACAGATTTCTGTTCAGCAGTTATGTAATTTACGGCTGTGACGCAAACAGCCGCCATATTTGACACACCTTGAGGATGCGAGGATCCACCCACCTTCCCCCTGGATTAAAGCTTCCTTTGGTCTTTCCCGTTAGGTAGAGTGTTCGTGTTTGGTTATTGTTTTTCTAACCTTATAAAGATCAATCTACATCTACCTCATTTGAATAGGATTTGCCTTTTTTCTTTCCTGTTTGAAAAGTGGGTCAGTGTGTCACATAACACACCTTCACAAAGCAACAGGAACAGGTAGTCTACTTCAACTTTTCTCTGATTCATGAGGATCAACTAGAAACAGAATATATATATATATATATATATATATATATATATATATATATATATATATATATATATATATATATTAGTACATTTCTCCACTGTGAGATCAAATAAAGTCAGTTAATCAATATGCACATATTTCTAGTATTCCCACTCTCCTGAAATTAACAAGAATTTTAACAATCCAAGTAATCCAAACAATAAAATAAAACCAAATACTCCATATGAAAAATAACACATTAATAGTAGATATAGCCTGAAAACAAAGGGGTATGTGCAAACAGGTATAAAAGGTGGAGAAATGAGCTCAACCTATCATTTAAATAAACAGCAGATGATTTGATGCCAACTGATGCAGCACTGAAATGTTTCTGAATTAGTAAAGTATTGCACAAACTAGAATGACTTGCAAGTGTAAAGAAATCGTGACAAAAAATATCTCACTGCTGTAGAAAAAAATAAAATAAAAGCAATTGTTACAGCTAGTGTGGGCATAAAATGGAAGTGAAGGGCCCAACCAGGTAAGAACTCTGACTGAAGTCAGATGAAAGGATCAAAAGTAGGATCTGCATAACTACAGTGGCCTCAGCATTCACTGGGCAACACTAAAGTGCAAGCAGAAGAGGAAACTGTGGTTTAAGTTAAAAATACTGAGAGAATATAATTGCATCAGATGGGGCTACAGTTGAATTTTGTGAATGTTGTTGCAAATACCATGTTTAGAGGGAATAGTCTGATGCATCCAGCAAAGGAAAACTAACTGGTTTCAGAGAAAGAAAGTAGAAGTGTAGGAATAGCTCAATGAAACAACAGACTTGAATCCAATTGACAATCTTTGAAAAAAAAAAAAAAAAACTCAAGTGCATAGAAAAAAATCCCCATAACCTAAAATGTAAATGTAAGATTGTTATGTTTTCTGAAATGTTCAGTGTTGGATTATGCTCTAGCTTGAACTAAAAAAGAATTTTTTTTTAAGGTTTTTAACATTTATTTCTCACCAAAGGTGTTCATATTTGAGGAAAGTTCTGTATGCATGTAACTAAAACTATTTGATAAAAAGGATCCACAGAGAAAAATCAAAGATTAAGACACATTGCTGAACATTTATGTTTTGTGTTTAAAAGCAAACCTCATTATTCCCCCAAAAACATTATATAGTCAGACCCAGCAGGCAACAAATACACAACGAGCAAAAAAACAACAAAGAAAAAACATTTGTACTGCAACTACTTCATTAATACAAGAGTTTTCCTTTAGACAAATGCATTTGCAAAAAATTAAGACTTAAACTTTCTTGAGGTAACTTACTGTTTGTGCTTCCTGTGCAGTTAGCTGCTCAGATCAGATGAAGGCAGCAATAAAAGATGCGGCGCTGCTCTTGTTTTAAAGCAGAATATTGCTGAGGAAATATGTCACAAGTTATGAACATCCCATTGGCTGTTTTCTTAACCAATGTTTAACTTTCTTTTTCTCCACCTGAAACTTTACATAACCCATAGCTGTTACCCAATCTTCCCTAGGATCTCTGATTTTGCTGGGATTAATCATTGCAAGAGGTTTCAAACAAAGGTCTTCAATTTCACACCGTGAGGTCATCCAGCTATGAAAACTCTGTTTTAGGTCAGCGTGATATAACTGAGTTTTTTTTTATCACCGGTCACAGATCACTTTTGCTTTTTGAATAGAAAGCTCTGTAGCAGTAGTGTCGTTTTGATGGGAAACGTTTAATTAAAATGTTTGTCGCTGTGAAAAACAGGCTAGTTTGGAGCACTCAGTGAAACCTCCAGCTGGACCTAAAATGGTGTAAAAGCAAAGAATTACATCACTAAATGCTAACCCTGATGAAGGGTCACTAGGCTGGTATTTATTGTTAACCTTTACTCTGCCAGTGCTGATACAATCTCTAAAATATCCCTCTCCTGTCCTGTCCTTTTCTCTTCTGCTGACATGACGGGTGAACAAGAAACCCCCACACCTCAAAGGCTACTTTAGTGCAAAACATGACCTCACACAACCGATGGTAACCTCTGGTGAACACATACCGCCATCCTACAGTACATTCCCAATGTCCTGACCTCCTATGAACTGGAATAAAAAGTGGGACAGACTCCTAGTCATTATGAATCAGATTATTTAGGTCAGTCTTGTGACTGAAGGAATCTTGAGAAGAGACAATAGCACCCCCTACTGCATAAAGTGGGTACTTTCTCTTTAAAGCAGATTTGAATCTGCATTTTGTTCCCTTGATTTATCATTTATGTTGCATTCATGACTTTAGCAGCCATATATGATCTGTTTTGGCTTTTTCTTTTTGTTTTATTAGTGTTATTGCCAGTTGCAGAGCTTTTCTGTCACCAAACTCATTTTGTGCACTTCAGTGGCAGGTCAATGTTTCTTCTTATTAGATAAAATCCATGCCTTTTTAATCACATATGTTAAACAAAAGGGAAAAAAGTAATGTATAGTATATTGAAAAAAAAATTATTAAACTCAAATATTTCCCTCTTAAAAACCTTTAAAAAAAAAAGAATCCTTTCAAAAGAAACGGCAAATATTTACAATATGGTTTGGCACAATTTACAAGACATCCGTGCTACTTTCACAGCTTTTGTTTAACCGCTGCATAGTTGCAGGTTAACTTCTGTATTCACAGCATTGGTGTGAAGACTGTAACAACTGTTGGTTATTGTACCCAACGAAACAGCCTTATAAAATCATCTTTCTATTGAACCTACCATTCATTACACTTCAGCTTTATGTTTTAAAGAAGTTAAATTTGTTCAACTAGTTACTTAGGTTGGACGATGATGCCAAGAAAAACAAAACTTGACTGTTTCACATGTTTATTTCAAAACGTAGGAGTACATTTCCTTTATACTTTCCTGTTGATTGATGGTCAGCCTCATTTTAACGGTTCATTTGAAAAGTGGGCTGAGAGAATTTGAAGAATAAAACTACACGCTGGAAACTTGTGGATTTGATCCCTTCAAGTTTCCTTTGATTTCTTGAAGTTTTGGGCTGTTGGGTGGAAGAAATAGAAAATGAAATAAATATTATTTGGCTTTTTTTGACATTTACTTTAAAACTAAATCAATATGCAAACATAATGTGTTCATTAAATACATAAATAATATAAAGCATCTTTATATCATTACAGAGTTGTGAAAACAAATTAAAAAGAAACCCATCTGTAAGTACAAATCCATCTGTCATTGTCTTGCAGCTGTAATTAGCTCCATCCAGGCTAGTTAGACAGGAATAATAAAATGAAAAATCCAGCTACCTCTCAAACAGAAGCACTAGTTCACAATGAGGAGTGTGTGGGAACATGTCAACCGGCACAGCAAGAGTTGGAGTAAAGGCCGGACCTGTAAGCTTCTTTTCTTGGTCAGGAGCACAGCAAAGCTCCCTAAAGTTCCTCATAGCCTCTCCGTCCGGTTTACAGGAGACGTACACCAGTCTGCGGATGGCGGGTTGATTTCTCAGCGCTCTGACCACTCTGGGGTGGAGGCCGGCTCGAGACGGATTCACCACAGCTGTAACAACTCCAGGTGCAGAACTTAACTGAGTCATAAGAGCGGGAAGGACCACCTCTGCTTTACCGGGGAGAAACTCGCAGCTTCCGACATTATTGAGAGCGGCGTTGTGCTTGGCATCTCTCACCGCCTGCTCTATAAGCTCAATTCCGATCACCCTGTCCACTCTGGGGGAAGCGATGATGCCGATGGCACCTGTGCCGCAGCAGATGTCAAGCAGAGTCCCACCGGGTTTGGATTGGGCAGCTCCTTCCTTCCTGACGGGGACACACAGGTCTCTGACTGTGTCATACAGCACCTGAGCAGCTGTCCGGTTCACCTGGAAAAAGGCGTCAGCAGATATGCGGAACTGGAAACCGAGCACCTGTAACACAGATCATACGAAAAACAGACATAGGTCAGATCTAACATGACTTGTCTTCACTGTTAGTTCAACAACTCAAATAAGAAAATTATTTTTATTTGTTGGGTCAAAAACAAACTAATCTAAACACAGAGAATCTTAAGTTTTCCTCAGGCCAAAAATTTCAGTTGTACTTCTGTCATCTAGATGAAGGAATAATATCATAAAAGCAAAAGATGCAAGCATTTGATGAATAAAAGTGTGGCTTAAATCTATTGGCTCATTTATTCTAAAAACAACATCTGTGCTATAAATCAAACATCAGGAAGGGTAACATTCACTATGCTGCCAATCAGATATAACAATTTGTATTTGATCAGCATCTAAAATGTAGCTGCAGCTTTTATTGATGATCTTGTGGACCCAACGATGCAAATCCTGTTGACGACGATAACCAGACCTGGACTTTGACTGAATGTGCTAAGAGCTGGACCGTATCAGTAAACCTGCTACTGCAATACTATGGCTCTTTTTTGTGTGGTTTTATTTTCTATTTTATTTTTTTAGAGAGGATATAGTTTTAATATAAATTCAGATAATAGATTAAAAAAAAGAATCAGTATTCCCAACTTGCAAAAAAACAAACATTAAAACCAATAGATTTATGGCTGGAGAGGTTTTCCCTTCTGTCAGAACTTAAGCTCTGTTGGAAACAGTAAAAATGTCATTAAATAAGTAAATCTAAATGTAATGTTTCTATGTGTTATTTTAGCTTTTTGATTTCTGCTTCTCAGGTCTTAGGACTTTAAGAGGCTCTGTGGCTTAACTGTTACACTTAGAAACGTCAACGTGAACAGAAAGAGAAATTTAAATTTTTAAGCATATTTAATTAGTTATTTAATTTAAATATATGGTTGAGAAGCCAAAAATGAGATTTTTTTTTAATTAAAGGTTTTCAAAGCCTGATTACACAGGGATTAAATATGCCTGGTTTAAAGCTATTTTTAACCACTGACTGACATCATCTGGACTTAGAGCTTGGACAATAAATCAACTATAAAGATTTTCTCAAAGAGATAATAATAATAACTGTGATAGAGGGTTTACATTCAGAGTTTATCTTTACACACAGCATATGAGGCAGGATTTAGCGCATTTTAGCATCCTTACATGAGGGAGAAGAGAATTGCAAGCAATGGTAAACTTTATTTGCTTTGTTTTATGCTTTTCCTGAAAGTATTTTTGCATAGTTAAACGGTAAAACAAGCAGTTCTTCACAGAACGCCAAAAGAAATTGTGTGTTTAGTTCAGGCGTCACCAACGTGGTGCCCGCAGGCACCAAGGGGCCCTCAGGGGTCTCATGTCGTGCCCACAGCATCTTTATTCTGTTGCCCTTCTTTTTTAAATCATTTATAGAGCATTTCATCATTTCAATGATGCAGAGTATTTAACCATGTTTAGAGATTTTAAAATGACAATATCATAAAGAAAATTAGGAATTAAAAGAAACAAAAATATATTTATTATGTATGAAGCTAAAGTAAACGCTGACCCCTTTCTTTCCTTCCTTCCTTTTCACCCAATAAAAATATATTTACTAGTATGAAGTTAAGGTGAACGCTGACTCCTCCAGTTCATAGGTCCATTTGGTATCCTCTCCTATGACTCAGTACAGATTAAAAGCATCGGCCTTAAATTGGTTGGGGACATCTGGTTTAGTTCATGGCAGTTTTTTGGAAACAAATCTAATTGGTTAATTGTCTGTTAAATTTTTCCATCAGCTTGTATTAATAAATATTTTTGTCCATCTTTTTTAAAGTAGATTCTTATCTATTTGTAATAATTATAGAAAATTATTTGGTCTATTAGCCCAATCTATAGGTGGACAGTATTTCATAGCAGCTAACTTATAACACTTGATTTAGTTTAGGGGCTAAAGCACCGTAAAATAGGAATACAAGAGGATGCTGTAGTTTTCACAGAAATAATGAGAAACCTTGAGTTGTTATGCTTCCACTTTACCAATATGGTAGCAGCCATTCAAAATGGCCCTTCCTAGTCAAACGCCAGCCAGATGGCAGCTTACTTCCCTCTGTCTCCCAGCAAAATTCCCTCCAACTTCCAGCCGCTGCAGTCATCCCTTCTTACACATTTTTTTTTTTTTACCTTTCACTAAATTACATGGTCTGACCAGGAGATGATGCTTCTCTTTAGATCTTAATGTTCACAGATCATGACAGAAAGAAAATCTTAGCACAAATATTAATGTTTAAAAATCTGAATTTGTTACTGTTCACAAGGGTGTGCCACAAGGATCTGTTTTGGGCCCCCTCTTAGTTATCTTGTACATCAACAATGTTAAACAAAATTTATCTGATGCTAATATGCATTTTTATGCTGATGATACCATTATTTATTGCTTTGGGTCATCTCTTGTAGGATATTTATTCCCTACAGAAAGCCTTTGTTACAGTATGAATGTAATAATATTAAATTATTTCTTAATGCTGACAAAAAAGTTAATGTTTTCAAATCATAGGAAGGTGCCTCAAACCCTTCCAGTAGTGTCCACTCTGGAAGGGAATGTCACTGAGGTGGCACATGAATATAAATTCCTTGGAATTGGAATTGATGACTCCCTCACCTTCAAATCCTTTACTGATAAACTTGTTAAGAAATTAAAAGTTAAACTGGGCTTCCTCTTTCATAATAAGACATGTTTTTCTTTTCAAGTAAAAAAGCGCCTCATCTCTGCCAAGTTTTTATCGGTCTTAGATTATGGTGACTTTTTTAATAAGAATGCTACTTCTTCATGTCGGACTTGAAATGTTGGACTCTGTTTACCATGCTTCATTAAGGTTCATCACAAACTGTAAAGGCATGACACGTCACTGTGACCTTTACCCTCAGGTGGGATGGCCTTCCCTCTCTATGAGAAGGCAGTGTCATTGGTACACTTTTATTTCCAAGACCCTTCTTGGATTACTGCCCTCTTACATTTGAACCTTACTTACACAGAAAAGCACGGCTTCTTATGCCCTGAGATCCAACGATCAGCTGTTGCTCACTGCTCCTTTTGCCCGCACAGAGCTAGGGAAGAAAGCCTTTTGCAAACAGCTCCTTGTGCGTGGAACTTTTTTACAAAGAAACTGGAAGTTGACTGAGTTTTTATCTTTAAATGCTTTTATTATGGTAATTAATTTATCTTTAAATGCTTTAAGTTAAAAGTGAAAGAATTTGAAGCAGCCTCGATGATATGTAATTGTTTTACTTGATATGATTTTATTTTATTTAATGTATCTCTGTTTCTTAATTTAACTTGGCTGCCTCTTGACCAGGACTCCCTTAAAAAAGAGGTTTTTAATCTCAATGGGATTTTTTCCCCTGGTTAAATAAAGGTTAAATTAAGAAAAAAAATGTAAGGGACCGGCCAAGGATCCATCAAGGAAAGTGGGGAAATTTTGAATGGCTACAACTGTATGCGTCTCTGATTTGATCTCTCACATAAAATCTGGACATGAACATATTTTAGTTGGTAGTTTTAAACGTGAAAACGAGTAAAAGTTCAAATGCTATATGAATACTTTTGTAAAGGCATTGCTGGGAGCTGTAAATATGCCATCCGGTCCAGATTCTGTGTGAGTCCAGCATGTCTCACCTCCTCATAGATGTATGGCTGACCATAGAGGAGCTGATAGGGGGATTCTTCATGTGTGCAGCGAGTCATCCTGCTCTCCTGGAAGAACAGGGAGTCCAGCTGACACACTGATCCAGGACCTTGAGTAAAATAGGCCACCAGCTCGGCCTTGTGGACAGCCACCTCCTCTGCAGTCATCATCTGTGGGTGGAAGTACACTATAGCCATGGTCTGTCCCTGAGCATTGGTCCTCACAGTGATCTCTCTCCAGTGGCCCCCAGTGTGGAACAGCAAGCAGGGCTCCAGAGAGGAGAGGCGGATGAAGTCCTGGTAATATCTGGCTACCATCGTGTGCTTCTCTGGCATGTTGAGCAGGTGATCTGCCTTCACGCAGACAATGTTCCCCTGTCTGCCCGTACCCACGTACAATCCAACCGTTTTTGGATCTCCATCAACTCCTATATTGACAGAAAATGTGGATTTGTTGCGGTATCCATCCCTGACTGGTGAGGGCAGGACAGGCAGGACAGGAAAGCTGAGTTTAGCTGCTGCAGGCGGTGGGAAATCTGACCTGAGATCAGCTAAAAGGGAGCCTGACAGTTGAGACAGGATCCTCTGCTGGTTGATTAGTTTGAGCTCCAGCTGCTCCTCATAGCTCAGCCTCCAGAGCGGGGTAACCGCATCGGCCAGCCTCTCCTCCCAGGACACACCGTCGGTCCAGGCTGCTTTCTTTGGACGTTTCCGTGACCCCGCTCTCCCAGAGGTCGGACTGTTAGTGGAGAACAGCAGACATGTCGTTCTCATATAAAATAGATGTCGCTTAACAGACATAACTGACCTGCCGCATGTGGCTGTTAAACACATATTTCCTAAACACTTCTGCTTTAAACTGAGTTAATACAGAGAAACGGTCCTTTGCTTAAGGATCCACTTCCTTTGAAAACATTTTTCGCGGGTCAGTCAGCTTCTTGGTACTCATATAGCCGTCATCATATTCTTCTATGGTGCTTTATAGCAGTTTACAAACTATTACCGCCACCAACTCTATTATCACCACCTAGTGGACCGGAGCATAAAAGCAATCACGAGTGAAAAAGGGACCAACACAAATGGTTTACCTTTATACCTTTACCTATATAACTTCACTGTGATTTAGGATAAACATTGTTGTATATAAATAGATACCAATGAACTGAGGTATTTCATAAAGTTATTTTAATTTTATATTTTTCTTTAAAATGTACGTTTAGGATAAATAATTTGATTTAGGATAAATATTTTTGTGTATAAATAAATACCAATGAACTGAGGTATTTCATAAAGTTATTTTGATTTCAGTTATATTTTTCTTTAAAATTTACAAATATTATATTTATTAAACCCAAACTGTGCTGCTCTGGACATCACAATAACCTTATGGTATATAAATTAATCTTTCCAACGAGAAAAAAAAAACAGTAACAGCAAGGGAAGGAACCACAATTTTTAAATTCCTTTTATTTATTAAGTTTCTGCTAAGACAGTTTTTTTTTTTTTTTTTTTTTTTTTTTTTTTTTTTTTAGATTGCTTATAATGAACACTCTTAACACTATTTAACAATGTTTAAACTTTCGAAATTACTATCACTTCAGACCATATCTAACATTTAAAATATTTGTAAACTGTTAGCATGATACATGTTTTGGCAGTTTAAACACCATTTCTGTTATATATATATATATATATATATATATATATATATATATATATATATTTATTATTTTTTTTTGGTCTCTGTTGCAAATTCAGAAAAAGCTTTATTGCCAAGTACCTTTTTACAAATGCAATTTATTTGATTTGGTTAAAGAAAAAAAAACATGCAATATTGAATAGACAAATGCAAGCTCTTTAGGAATGTTATAAGAAAATGGAAAAATAGTAAAACTTTTTGCAGAAACCAATCAATATAGCAGATATTAAAAGATAATACAATAACAAAAATATAAACCATTTTATACAGTGCTTATGACAGAGGCATATACTAATCATCTTTTATTCTTTCAAAAAAATCTTGATAGTTTAGAAAAATATACATTTTAAATTTTAATTATCTTAAGTAGAAATGTATGTACTGTTTCTTAGACTCTATTGTATCTCAGTATTGGTTTGCATACCTGAATAAGTACTTAACATGGGGCCATTTATCTAACTTTTGGAGCTCATTTCCTTTCATAAGGGCCATGTGGGACTTGTTCATACATTCTGAGAGGGTAACGGTGCACTTAACAGTTCCCATAACAGAGCAAAGTGAAATATTTGAGTGATACTTTGAGAAGTAATCTTGGACATTCCTTTGTCCAGTAACCACTGGACAAAGGATGCGAAAAAGGAATACAATCTCGAAATAAAGCTTTTAAATCTTTAAAAAGGAATCACTGTTTTCAAAATCTTATTGATTATAAAAAAAGTTCAAGCAAATGTAAGAAGAGCCATAAAAAGTGCAAAGAAACAATACTGGAAGAATTTATGTTGATCAGTAGGAAGGGAGACAGACATTGGTAAAATATGGGGGATGATAAAAGGAATAAACGGAATAAAAAGAGAGCATGATTACCCAGTCTTAAATTATGGACAAACTATAGCAGTGATAGATGAGGAGAAAGCAGAGATGCTGGGTATAATTTTAATAACAATTCACAGCTCAAATAGTATTAATGAAGAAGGGAAAAAAAACAGAGAGGAAGAATGACGAGTTACAACAAGAAGAAGATTCTAATGACTTATTAAACAAATCTTTTACAATCATAGAACTAAAACATGCTCTCCATAAAACCAAGATGTCAGCACCAGGAAACGATCAGATTTGTTACGTAATGACAAACCAACTCAGTGAAAATTCAAAGGATGTATTACTAGAACTATATAATAAAGTACGGGAGAATGTGAAACTGCCACAGAGCTGGAAGGAGGCTGTGGTGGTGCCAATTCACAAACCAGGAAAAGATTCTATAAACCCAGCAAATTACAGACCGATCGCTTTAACATCAAACATATGCTAGATAATGGAGAAAATGAATGAAAGGTTAACATACTATATGGGGGAAAAAAGGATATATAGTCAAATACCAAAGTGGTTTTAGGAAAGGAAGAAATACAATGGATCCAGCTGTATGTTTAGATCATGAAATTAGAAAGGCACAAGTAAACAAAGACAGTGTATGGGGTGTCTTCTTTGACATAGAGAAGGCATACGATATGATGTAGAGAGAAGGACTGTTAATTAGACTGTCTCAATTAGGTATCAAAGGACTAATATATAGATGGATTTTTTACAAGGGAGATTAATACAAGTTAGAATAGGGAAGAATTACTCAAGGAAATATATTATAGAGAATGGAACATGTCACGGGAGCATAATAGGTCAGTTATTCTTCTCCATATTGATAAATGATGTTTTCAGGGAAATAGGGAGTGGGATGGGGTTTTTATTTTTTGCGGCTGACTGGGCAATTTGGAAGAGGGGAAGTAATCTGAAATGTATTGTAAGGAAACTAAAAGATGCTATTACAAAAATAGAGGAGTGGTCATATAAATGGGGCTTTAAATTCTCTGTAGTTTTCTGATGTAAAACTAAAGTTGTATAATCAAGAATTAGAAAGAGTAAAACTATTTCAGTTTTGGGGGTTATGGTTTGAAGAGGAAGAGAAGAAACAATTACATCAAGACTTAGATTTGGGCACCAAGGATTAAAGAGTACTTTAACACAGGTATGTTTGAATAGTATTCACACATGAATACTGTGAACAACAAGAAACAATTGAACATGTTATGGTACACTGTAAGAAGTATGAAAGAAAAAGGAGGGAATTGGTTCAAATTCTTATAAATGAGAGAATAAACTTTAGTTTAATAGAAATCCTTAGAAAGAACTCAAGAGATAAGTGTTATGTAATTGTTTTTCGTTATCTTAGATTAATCAGTGTAATTGAGAGGGTTTAAATCTTATTTTGGTTTTGTTGGTTTTTGTTTTGTTGATTTAGTTTTGTTCAGTATAAGTAGGTAGTAGCCGTTCAGATCCACACTCCATACCAGTTGGTGATGGTAATGCGCCATTTCGTTGCGTGCCAACCGCCAATAAAATCCCATAAAGAAGAAGAAGAAGAAGAAGAAGAAGAAGAAGAAGTGACGCAAGTTTTGTGAGACAGAGGGTGGAACGCGTCATCTCTTTGCGTCCCGGGGCAAGTAGTAAACATTTCCGCTGTGTCGCGATGGACTCAAACAAGGACGAAGCCGAACGATGCATTAAAATAGCACTAAATGCAATCAGTAATAATCAGTTAGACAAAGCCAGGAAGTTTCTGGAGAAGGCTCAGCGTTTGTTTCCGACAGATAAGGCCAAAAGTAAGTCGAATACACGTCTTTTTTTAGCTGTAAGGTAGAGGGCCAGAGCGATAAGACGGTACAAGCTAAAGTTAGCATAGCCGTTATTAATACCAACACGTTAAAGGTGTACTCGTAGCGTTTTTAAACTGTTAGCAACGGTTTATTACAACGTTTTTTTTTATTGTTAGGAACCTTTAACGCGATGTACTTACTCAATTGTTGCGTTGAAGTTCTTTTTAGCCCTTACGATGCTAAATGTTAATGTGTCGGATTAGCCGGTTTTAAAAACAACTTATAACGAAAGCATTTTCTGTTATGTGTCCCTTTTGCAGACTTGTTGGAGTCATTGGCGCAGAATGGAAAGCCTCCTGATGAGAACGGTACTGCTGTAAACGGAGATGGACCCGGGTTGAGGCATCGCGGTGAGAAAAACGGAGCTAATGTGTCTCAGGGCCCCACAGACTCAGACAAGTCGTACACAGCAGAGCAGCTGGAGGCGGTCAAAAAGTGAGAGCCCAATGATTAGCTTTTCTGTTACTTTCTGATATGATGTATTATCTGACAAGTGATCAAATGTAAACACAGATGCCAGCAAATGTGTTTTTGTGTGTGTGTGTGTGTTTTAATGCATATCATCTGATTCGTTTAGGCATTTAACAACATTTCCCAAACAGCTGTTTGAATCACAATTTTTATCTGAATTGATTGTGACACAACATAATTACTCTTCACCCAAGTCAATCAGGTGGAACTCTTTACTTAAAAAGAGATTATGTACGTTTTTACAGAGAAATTGACTAAAACATTGTTTGATGAGTAGACTGACACCTCATTACTTCATGCGTTTGTAAGCCTGCAGCCAATTTTCTTTAACCCTTTATAGGGCACTCAGTGAAATACTTTATAAATCAAAATTTCTAGCCAATACTGTCATCGGAATCCAGGACAAGACATTATTACATTTGTAACCTTAAAAAAATATGGATATTTTGATGGTAAAAATTTATGTCAATGTAATAACAAGAAACGCAGACTTGCCCGAATGTATTAAGAAAAATAACAAAAGTGCTTCTATAAGAGATTCATGAAAAACACTCTTAGAGTGAAAGAAACACATTTTCTTTGGTACAGCATAGCCTTAGAGGCATTAATGCCGATACTGGCTCTTACATTTTTTAGTGTATAGACCTATATATAATTGTTAACTAGACTTATTGACTTTTTAACTTTTCAATTAGCTTTTTACCTTTTTTTCTTGACTATATATCACTCAAGGGCTCATCTAATTGGTCAAATGCCAAAATAAAATGTATAGCCATGTAGCAGTGTCTTTGCTTAATGGCTGGATATAGATCTTGTGCTTCTAGACCTCACTGAGGAACAGGGGGACTCCATTTGTAAGGGGTATGCAAGTGATCAAAATGCTAACTTGCCCTATAGAGGTTTAATTTACTTCGGGTTGGAATTATAAACACTGTTCAGCAAATGTGGCGTCAAGTACTTCCATGTTAAATCAGAATCAGAAATACTTTAATAATCCCAGAGGGAAATTACTTTTGTTATACGCCCCAGTTACAGTTTAAACGGGTCTGACATTGAAAACAATCAAAGCGTAATATTCAAGGTGGATTCTTTTTATACTCAGAAGCGACCGGTGTAGGTACCCGATTTGCCCGGGTGGTTGGATCTGCTCGGGGCCCTTCCCCTTCTTATGACGACACCATGTGACAACTCCACTTGGACAAACTGTATTGCAGCAGTTTCTTAAGAATCAGATCTCTTTTGGACTCTCAACATATTATTACCTATACTTGCTATGATTTTACATTTCATCTGTGATCTAAAGTAGTCAAAAGTAGAAAATAATCATTGTCGGTCTTGAAGGAAGATACTGCGTTCTAAGACAGACTGAGCTCTGACCTTAACCAAGGTGACAAAATAAGTATCAGCTTATTTTTATTCTTTTTATTAAGATCCGACGGCAGGGGCGGAAAAATTATACATCTGAAAAAATAGCTTTCTTAGAGATTTTAAACAAAAAAAAGCATGAGTTATTCTACTTGTAGAAAATGAACCGTTGTTGTTGACACAAAGTTAAAAGTAGTGTAGCTTAATAAGGCTGACTGACCAAACTACAATAGGCTAACCTGTTAGCTACTGAGCACAGGTAGCCGCAGCACTAACCAGCTCTCCCTCTTATATACCATGGTCTTGCAGTTACTTTTTTTCACCATAAACAGATTTTTTTTTTTCAGCTTCGTTATTAATCAGGCAAAACTTCATCGTTCATTAGACATGCTAACACTACAGATGCTCTCGACTCAACACAGCACAGGCATTATCATTGCCTGTGCAACCACAATGTTTTAAGTCATGTGGCAACATTCGGCCAATCATATAGCACAACGTCACTGGCATGTGCATAGCCTGAGCAGATCTGACAACCCAAGCAGATCTGGTACCTATGCTGGGATCCACATAAGTTGAATGAGCAGAAGAGTGTTGCAGTGCCAGTAGCATTAGAAAACTCTGTAATGCCTTTTTAAATGGAATATTAGGAGAGGAAAACTGATATGGTGGAATTTAGACCTTACACAAGTTGGAGGCCTTGATCCAAAAACTGAAAACGCTATATATCGACCTTAATGTGGCAATTGCTCTTTTATGAATGGTCTGCCTCTGCCCAACAACAAGTGGAAATAGAAACTTTATTTAACATGCTGTACTTTTATCTACCTTTTCCAGCACGTCATTTTACATGTTGTTGTTTTTTTTTTCGGGTTTTTATCCATGTTGTGTTTGAATTGTTCACCTTGTTGCCATTAAGCAGTATGCCACCCTCTAGGGGGGTTTCCTACTGCCATTCTTAGCGGCTGAACGTTAATATAAAGAGTTTTTAAGGTTTGTGGTAAAAACAGCAATTTGAATATACAACTGAATATTTCCGTCGGCAGGTTTTAACATTATTAGTTTATTTGGATAGTTCTTTAAAAAAAATTTAGCGCAGAAATAATGATCAGAGCTCGCTCTCTTTTCCTTCTATATAACGATCCATTCTTCCAGCTTTTGTTTTTTCTTAAAGATACTAATGAGTATTTTTCTCAGAAATTGTCTAGATTCATCTACGAGGACATAATTGATCAATGACATTCTTACACTTATGGTTCCCCAAACAAAAAAAACAAATTAAAATCCATAAACTCCACTGGCCGTGGTGGTGGCTACAAATCATTAGCCAATGCCCTTTGCCTACTGTTCAAAGTGGATTGGCTACTTGTTTGTCAATTAAATATTTTGGGTATGTGCCACCAGAATGTTATTTATGTAGGCTCCAAGCGTAACTCATAGACTGTTTGGCTAGCTGTCCGCCATTATGCAGAAGCACAAAGAAGTTTTTCTACGCTTTTTTGCAACTGCAGCTTTCTCTTTTTAGCTATTTGTTCACTCTTTCGTGTAAAGCGTTGTTGTAACATCCCCATCACTATAGTTGGTCTGGCTGTTTTGTCTCTGACTCTTGCATGTTTGAAAACACATATCCAAGGTGCTCAATGGAAATGTCATCCATTTCTTACAGCCTTTTGTGTTTTTGTTTTTTTTGTTTTGTAATTTAATTCAGGATTAAGAGCTGTAAAGATTATTACCAAATTCTGGGAGTGGAAAAATCAGCTTCTGAGGAGGACCTTAAAAAGGCCTACAGAAAGCTGGCTCTTAAATTTCACCCAGATAAAAACCACGCACCTGGAGCCACAGAGGCTTTCAAAGGTAAGTATGTACCTTCAAGTCTCCCCTGTTATGTCTCTGAGCTTGCCGTAACTAAACCTCTCCCTGTGTCTTTCAGCCATCGGTAATGCCTACGCTGTTCTAAGTAACGCAGAGAAACGGAGACAATACGACCAGTATGGAGAGGAGCGAACGCAACCAAGTAGACACAGACACCATCACGATTTTGAAGCCGATATCTCTCCAGAGGACCTTTTTAACATGTTCTTCGGTGGTGGCTTCCCAACAAGTGGGTGGAGGCAACATGACACATGAACACAAACTACTCTGCTTTAAAATTTAATGTTTCGTTAGATCCTTTCAAGGAACAATTTCCTGGGGTATTTGAATGTATAGTTTTTAGGCCTCCATTAGGGCTTCAACTACAAATTATTTTGCAAATCGATTAA